CACACACACACACGTACACGTTCACGCGCGCGCACAGACACACGCACACAAACGTAAACGCGCGTCCACGAAAGCAGTGGAAATCTGCAAGACACGAGCACGCGCGGAGCTCACATTGCGCAACGTTCGGTGACAAAGGAAGACAACATTTTCCAACTAAAAAACGGTCAGGAGAAGCGTTGACGTACCTGCAGCCGCGTGGACACTTCTCCAACTGGAGTTGCTGTGTTGTGTGTGACTGGCTGGCTGCTTGTGTGTGTGCAATTCTCGCTCTCTCTCTCTCTCTCTCTCTCTCTCTCTCTCTCTCTCGCTCGCTCTCTTCCTGTGTTTGTGTGTGTGGATGCGGACACTTCCTTGTCTCTTCCGCCCCCTACAGGCCGCTACCGTCATGACGTGACAAGGAGACAAGCAGATGCAGTGCGTTGCGGTCGTGCGAAAACGTCTGAAGTGCGAACAAAATCGTTTTCATTTGGAAGCAGACTCACGATTTGTTTGGCTCATTTAATATGAAATGTTATACATTTTTAGACATTCCAATCATTTTGGCTTCGATTGCATTACTGTACACTGTTCTGAACAAAATGTGATTTCTTTTGTTTTTACTTCCGTGCATCAGTTCTCAACGAAATGCAATTTTAAAATTATACGACACACTTACTCGAATATTTAAATATTTCAATCATTTAGAGTTAGCTATATGTGAGTTGAAGACATGATTAAAACCCAGCCGGATACATCTGAATCATTTACATTACCTTTTCACACACATTATTCAAATAGTCACATTTTATTACGTGTGTCACGTGATAGCAAATTGAAGATCGACACCAATTATTTTACAGCTATAATTGTGGTTGATTTAATTGTTACTCTCGACCATAATAATTAAGTACTTATGAAGCAAAAATCATAGCCATGTTAACAAAGTCATATGACCATTTTAGATACTCGCCCCCGTATAAGCCGGAATTTTGCTCATAAAAATTCCCAAATTCAGGAAAACCTCAAACACACAAAAGATGGAATCATGACAAAAAAGTAGACATGAAATGAAATTTTTTTTTTATTACTATCCATGTTTATTACTGTGGTGTTGGTGGTGTCCAAGTCATACTTCGGGAAGTTTTACATACATTTGATTAAAAAAACAACAACAAAAAAAAACTTACATTCATATTACATTTTCGGTAACCTCTCCGATGTGCATTCATGAAAAACATTTTTGAATTGAGTGAAGATCTCTGCCGAGTGTGATGATACGGCAAATGAAGTGAGTGGCAACGCCAAAGAAAACCTTTGACCGCCGCGGGTGGGCCGGGAGCCACGTTTTTAATAATTCATCGTCATTGAACGCTCGCTGTCTTCTCCTCGGCAATTCTCATGTTACAGTCAATGATTCAGTTGGATCCCTTTTGGTAAATGACGCATCTTTAATTAATTCAGCGAGAGATTGACTGTTTTTACAGATTCTGTGAAGGGGCAAGAGGTGCAGTGCCCCTGCAGATCCAACAGGTGGCGCTTTCACAAAAAAATATTGATTTTTAATTGTCGGGCATGCTTCTTGTTTATTAAGCAATAGAATAAAAATAGAACAAATGGCAGGGCAAAAACAAACCCGAGGAAGCAACACATGATTCTTAAGAGGGGCAGTGCCCCACCAGATCAAGCAGGTGGTGGTAACGAATAGTTTTATTGCATCTGTGTAGTTTGGTAAATCGACATCTAAAAGAAAGACTGGATTACGTCGATGAGGTTTTCCAGCGGGAAGGTTTAAGACTTCAAAAGGGGTTAAAGTTGCGCTTCAGGCAGCTTGGTAGCATTTGAAACTCATCAAAGCCAAAACGCTTCTCCCTTCAGATGCATTTGCGCTTCTAAATGGCGGCTATGTTTTCTGACTAGAAGCGAGCGCCCGTAACAGTAATCCTTCTATCCGGAGCCGCATTTGAATTTAAAGCTGCGCAGCGGGATGTCAAAGGCAGCGAGTCTCTACGGGCCTACACAGCTGCAAAAAGGGAACAAGACGCCAGCTTTATTAGTTCCAGTGCATGGAAACCTTTCACTCGGATTCGGACACTTGCCGCTGCCGAGGTGACATCCGTTGTTCCACGCATGAAGAGCCCTTGGGAGATTGCCGTCTCTAAAACCGGTCTGATGGAAGAAGACCGAAACAAAGGGAAACCTTCAAGTTGTGAGGATATTGATGACATTAAAAGTGAAGATATAATAATGAGTCTGTCTGGTCTTCGGCTTTCGGTTACTTGACGTTGGATTGAAAGACGGCAACGTTGACATTTGCTACCGACGGGACTCCAAACGTACAAAATGGCGACTGGCCACTGAAGATTATCTCATTTATCTTGATTTTTTTATTTTTATTTTTTGAACGGGTGTTACACTTAGCGATGAACTTAAGTCTTCAAAGCTGAGGCAAATCCTGGGCAAGGATCTCAATCTGAGGCAACGCTAAGAGCTTGTCATGACAGAATTGTGAGTCTGGCAGCTACAGAAAGTCGAGCAGACAAAAAGATGGCGGCAAGCAACGCATTCGATATGGACAAAAATCGCAAAATCAGAAATTGGTTGTTGCGGAGTAACCGGCGGATTTGAAGTCAATTCAAATCATTCGTTTTCTTCTATTTGCGATCGAGGAAGAAAGCTCTGAGATAAAACGAGACTTCTTACACGACCATCTGCCTGAACCAAGTGAGAGTGAGATGATCAACGGATGGGGGGATGGTGATCTCAACATTCCAGACTGATGGAAGCGCAAGCCACAGCCAGTTCTTCATCATTTCTGTTGGAGTTGGGAGTTCGAGCACGGTGGAAAAACAAGTTGTCTTTATTCTCAGGACACGAGAAACATTGGCGTACATTTCTCACCCGCCGAGTGGATTTTTTTGTTTTTTTTTCCAGAGCAAACAACCCCCCCAAACCTCAAACCATCTCAAGTATGCTCCGCAGTCACGTCCTGAGGGTTTACTCGCGAGCGCGACGGTCCGCGGTTTCCGTTGCGCGCTCTGCAGTCAACGGCGTTTTCACAGAAACCAAAGGGAGAGTGGACATATTAAAAAAATAAAATAAAATAAATAAACGACATCTGAGCAACAACGAAAAGGAACCTTGCCCACTCTGCTATCGAACAGAAGAGGGGAGTCGTCACCTGCAGAAGGAAGACGTCTGAAGGTACCGTTTCTGAACTTCTCCCCCGCGCGGCCGCGGATCAATCGGATTCGGAGGACGACGACGCGTGCTTATGCTTCTTCCGCTTCTTCTTCTTCTTTTTCTTCTTCTTCTCCTTCTTTTTCTTCTTCTTCTTCCCGCCGTCAGAGTCGGAGGACGAGGAGGATGACGTGGTGTCCTGGAGAAGCTGCTGCAGCTGCTGGATCCTGGAAGAGGAGGCGAGGTCAGACAATCAAGACGCAAGTTGGCGGGAACATCCGCGGCGCTTCCTTTATCCGAGCAGCAGCTGTGTTCTCAGCGCAGACGCCACTTGATCTTTCAAGTCTTGGCCCCTGGGACATGTGTTAACTTATGAGCCTGAGACGCCTTCTGACCACTCTGTGGAAGGTGCACACAAATCACAGATGGGATTTCTTGCGTTTTATTGGCCGGCTTGGGATGTGCGAGTGTCAACGTGACCTCGTGACTGCTTATCTTGCAAAATAAAAGAGATGGGAAAATGCGTTCCACCAAACGGTTTCTACTGGAACAACAATAATGGAGAGTGTTGGTGTCAAACTCCAAGCTACAAAATCCAGGAAATAAAAGTCAGTCAACATTGGAAATAATGTCTTCTTATGCTAGGGTGTTAGTTTGGGCTAGCATGTGAGCTAATACTATTCATGAGCCTAATTTGGATAATTGAACGTGTCGGTAACGTAAAAAACTAAACCAAATAAAAATGTATTTCAACCCTTTCATGCACTCCGTAACCTGATAACATGATAAGCTGTCCACTGTAGTAACCACTACCCCTGAAAAGGTTAAACTTGATCCACCAAAGAGAGCAGATATGGATGACATTTAAAAAAAAAAAAATACACCAAAGAGAGCAGATATGGATGACATTAAAAAAAAAAAAATTGTCAAGTATAAAAAAAAATAAAGAATGGTACTTTGTCGAGCATCTTCCTGATGCCCCCACTTGCTTGAGCCACGAAAAGATACCCATTTGAGTTTCCCCTGGCTGGATAAGTCCCACCAGTATGGCGTGGGGCTTCTCCACATAGCGATAACGGGGCACTCTGAAGCGGCAACACCGGCACGAAGCCCCTCTGTACATACAAACTGTCACGTCAGGGTTTTTACATTGTTTCCCCAACTCGCTCTTCCACCATCTCTGTGACGCGCATGCACTCAGGGCGGACAATGAGGCACCCTCAACCGGCCACACCAGCAGAACATTCATTTCCAAGGTATAAACAAAGCTATTTAGCGAGCTAACTGCTTGTTTGCAACTATGGAAGAGTGTGGCTATCCTGCTCAGAAACAATTCAAATGCAATTATGTCTATACCAAAGGACGCCTAATTCTTTTTTTTTTTTTAAATGATGATAATGACCAGTTCAAAAGGAGACTTGGGAGGCGGAGCTTTGACTCTTATTTCCTCTCCCTTTTGGGGAAGATGTCAGATGTTGAATGTGGCGAGCGCACAAGAGGCTTCAAAAGCTGGCCTTTCAATGACCTTTCTGTAATGGATGCAAACTCACACCGGTATCCTGCTGCGGCCACACAACCACCGAATAATACTTTTATATTTACGCCCATTTACCTGCTTTCTTTCTCATTCCTTTCATTTTCCCGAATCAGGTCGTACATGGGGTCTTCGTGGGCCTGCCAGAAAAACAGGAAGCTGTCAAAATGGACGCCCGAGAGACAAGAGATAGAAGTCGGGAAAGGGCCTCTTAAGGCATTTACCACCATTTTGCTCTTTATCCCCCCTCCCCCACCCTTTCTTTTTTTCTGTCACTCAGCAGTTTCCCGGTAGGAGGAGAAAAAAAAAAAGGATGCAGTTGCATTTATGGTAATCACAGCAGGGGCTGAGTATTCCATTGTCCCATTATATGATATATTGGATCGAGCAGCCAACATGCGTGTGTGTGTGTGTGTGTGTGTGTGTGTGTGTGTGTGTGTGTGTGTGTGTGTGCGCGGACACTCACCACGCGAAACTGCTCCAGTTTCTGGTTGCCTTTGATGAAAAACGGACACTCACGATCCCCTGTGCGATGGCCGTACCGTTTGCACCTCCAGCCTGCAAGAGTCAGAGAAACTCAAATAAAATAACTCCAAAATCATCTTTAGTGACGCAAAATCCAAATATTCTGAAATTACAAACATAGCAATTAATTGATGTTATCTTCTCCATTGGAGATCAATGCCATCTCTTTCAATTTTTTTGTGTTTAAAAAAAAAAAAAAAAAATGGAACGGACCCGTGCTATTGGCAGGGGATAAGCCCAAAAATAGTGAATATGCATTTCAGCTGACCTCCATTTTCAGGCCACCTCCCTCCAATTTAGGAAGGCGAAGAACGTTTGCGGCTCTCTGATGAGCGCGTGCGAGAGAAAATGAGTCACCATCAACATTTGGTGCACTTCGCCGTGACAGTTGGAGAACAATGAAGATCCCAGCTGTATGTTTGCTTTTTTTTTTTTTTTTTTTGCTTTTTTTGGAGCAACCGCCTGTTGCGACATGGCGGTTGTTTTATTACCTCGCAGCAGTTTTATGGGCTTGCACAAGTGCACACACCCTTGTATAACTGGGGACATGAATTGAACAAACGCATTCAAACACAGCACACAATATTGCCTTCTCCCATGTCCACGGCCCCATTTCTGTAACCACTTGTGTACCAACACTATAAAGTCAATTTCCGTAATATGAAGCCTTTAATACAAAAAGCGTAGTCAATTCAGACACTCGGGGTTCTAGTTGTGCGATATTCGGGGACTTCTATGACACGAATGCTCTACACTTACACTGCATCACCTTGACCTCCTTGCCCAGCGGCATCCACAGGCCCTTGGTGGGCGCATTGGCCAGGAAGGTGCGCGCATCCTCATTTCCGGGTTCGGCTGGAATGCAGTCCTCGGGTTTCTCCATGTGTTCCTGTAAATCAAAGCTGAGCGTGTAAGACCATTTTAATGACCACTAGCGTCACGTTTCTTATGAAGACTTGGCCAAATAAGACATTACCTGTGTAAGACCATTTTAATGACCACTAGTTTCTTATGAAGACTTGGCCAAATAAGACATTACCTTAATGTATCCTGGTGGAGGTTTTTCATAGCTGTAGAAAAGGGAGATTAACTGCTTAATTACTTTCCAAATACAATCCAGTTTATGCTGTAGGAATGGCTGAATGATTAAACAATGGTATTGATTAATCCCAGTTAATTTGTCAGTACATTTGTAATGATTTAGCTGCTTTGGTAGCTCAAAACTCTGCTGACATGCAGTACTTAGACTAACAACATGGTTGCAAACAGAGTCTGTGGCAGTGTTTGTAATGATTTAGCTGCTTTGGGAGCTCAAATCTCTGTTGACATGCAGTACTTACACTAACAACATGGTTGCAAACAGAGTCTGTGGCAGTTGATGCTCGGACAGACAATTTTTGGGGGGAAAATGGTAAACGAAGAAATAAAGCAGAAGGGGAGGAAAAAAATAGAAAGGCAGTGTTTACTTTGCCGTGACCGGCAACTCTCGATTCTTGGCCTGCCGTGAATCGTGATTCGTTTTTTTTTTTTTTTTTTTTTTTATAAACCGTGATGTCAGTAGGTCGGCTGGTTGATTATTCAGGCGTGATGCGTAGGCTACCGGGAATCGATTATTTGCTGTGAGTCATGTATTGTACGTGCAAAGCTAAACCCCTCTGTCCCTTTTCTCTAAGTTTTCAATTCGTTTCGTCACGTAAAATACAGTAGGCTGTTTTCGGGATTACCATCTTTACGCAAGCAGGTTTATCAGCGATACTGTATTCCCGTTTGCTTTGCTCTTTTCAAATGCACCAATCGCATCTTCCGCCTGTGTTAAAATTCATTACCAGCGCAGAACGCATCCAACTCCATCACGGTATCATTCCCGTCAAATGTGGCAAGTAAGCCGTCGATTCCCGGTCTCTCGACAAAATTCTCGCGCAATTCACGTCAACATACGCTAGGTGGCAAAAAAAAACATTACAATAAACGCAAAGAAAAAGTTATTTTGATTCGGAGACTTCATTTTAAGGCCGTGATGACCAGCCCTAGTTATGAGCGTGAATATATTTTAAGAAATAATTTTAACACTCACAATGTCTCGATGTGTTTGAGGTTTTGCACTTGCTGGTTGAGTCTCTTCATCTGACTTTTCAGCTTCTCGTCGTCCTCCTTGGACGTCGATTTGTGTCGTTTGTGCTCGCGTCGCTCTTCTTTCTCCCTCGGCCTCTTTCTACTCGACATTTTGTGGCAAATGTCGTTCAACAGAAAATAATATTGTGTTAATGCGTTTAAAGATATTTTGGGCGAAACACTTGAGAGGGTACCGATGGCTAGGCTACGTCGTTTTGCTCCACTTCCGGTGCGGGCGAGCTAGCTGCTTCGTGAAAGTCTATCTCCCCCAGCAGGTGGCGGGCGGAACTGCATTAGAGAATACTTGGCGTCAAACCGTAGTTTTATAAGTACAGTACTGTATAAACAAAATCTAAACATACACTACCTTCAAATAACTTAAAACATAATGGTTACATTGTATTGAATAAGATACTAAAAAAAGGCAGCAGTTACACTTGGTTTTATTCAACAAAGAAGTGACATACAAACATAAACGTGCAGTATGAAAGCATTACACACTGTCGAGGTAAGTGGGTGGGTAAGGCAGTAGGGGAAAAAAAGCATATTGTACAAAGGTTTTCAAATACAATCATCTAAATTAAAATGAGTTAACAGTTGAAATATATCAGCCTGTGTGGAATGAATGAATGCATTACACAGGTTTCACTTTATGAATAGTACAACTGAAATAAATCAACTTTTTCATGATATTCAAATTTTTTGACGAGTATCTGTACATGTCTATAAAACGCATACACTAACTGCAACAAAAGAAAATTAATTTGGATTGTAATAGGACAGCAAATCACACTATTTTGTAAATCAGAAATAAAGCCATAGTGGGGAGCACTTAAACACGAGTCTTACAAAAACATTTTTTACAAGTACTGTACAAAAAAGTAAACGCAAAATGCACATATATATTCAGCCACCAAACACCAAGGTACAGTAGTAATATATAAAATGCCTTCTCTTTAAAAAAAAAAAATGCAACAACAAAAGAGACTATCAGCTTATCAAACATAAGGACAAAATCATTGGTGACACTTTTTGTAAATGTCTTACAAAAGGAAGTTTGAATATTGATATCCAGCATATCCAACCACACCAAATGACATCGCTGTAACGTTGATCAATACCAAAAAATCCCTCAAATTTCCCATTTATGGCAGTGAAGCAGATTATGCTCATTTGCTGAATTTTCACACCAAAACCTCTAAACTAAACCGCATTTAAGCTCAGCGAGGTTCTTGGCGGCATTGCTGCAACATCCCATCCGCAGAGGGCGCTGTAACAACTAAGGAACCAAAAGTGGCTTCCCTTCCTTCTGTGTAAACAGGTTTGTTAACAAAAGCAGTAGAAGAAGAAGAGGCAACTCAGAGTGAGAAGAGGAAGTCTTTCAAGCTGCCTTTCTTGCTGACTGACTTATCCTCACGCATCAGGATTTTGCTCAGACGTTGGACCACCCAGTTCTTGCCCTTGGAGGGGGTCTTGGTGGCCGAAGGGGTGGACGAGGAGGAAGAGATTGAGCCGGGCGTCCCGGAGGAGTTGGACGACCTGGCGAATGGGTACCACGAGAAGTTAAGAGGAGAGCATCACGTCGAGTCACAGTCTTAGTTCGGTCGGACTAAACTCACCTGGGGGTGCGATGGGGTGTCTTGTCCTTGCCGGGGGTCTTCCCAGGCATGGATCTGTTGGCTGATGAAGGGGTCTTGAGCTTGCCTGCGCTGCCCGGGGTGGGGAAGGTAGACAAAATCTCTCGGTTCATTCCTTTATGCCTGGAAGTCTTGCTGCAGGTGTGGCAGGTGGCCATCTAAACAAATACATATAAAAATAAATCAAAAAATTTGCCTCGCACACAAGTTCCAACGATTGACAGGAAATTGGGTGAACATGTCTACAATTGTGATACGGTGGACAGGGGGTGCAAGAAAAAGTCTTGAGGATCCAAACCCAAAACTGAACAGGAAATTTGCCAGGAGCAGATAAAGCAAAGCTCATTTGGGAGACAATCGCATAATCTCCATAGTGAGCCAAACCCCAGGTTGCATGAAAAAAATATGCCCCCTTTTTTCTTTCTTTTTTTGCTTGCCACTGCACAAAAATTGCTAACATCCTCTGCATACGCCGTCAAGACACAGCAACTTCCACAATCAAAGGGGTCACCCCGGACCACCTTCAGAACACAAGCCAAAAGCTGACGAGATGGGGGAAAAACTCACCGACACGAAGGTAGCCATTTTCGCGACTGGTTACGCCGTTGGGTTGCTCCGAAGTGTTTACTACGCTGGCGAGTGCACGTCCAGCTTTATAGGCGTCTGGCCAACCGGCCCACCCATCTTTCCACGGAGTAAGGGGGGGGGCAAAGGGGGTGTGGCTGAATGTAGGAATGACTGGCCAGCACGCTGTCGCAGGGGTGGATTTATTGGTGGATTCCCAGCACTGTGCAGAGAACACTGCTCACTGCAGAAACTCATCCAGTAACGTGTAAACACGTCTTCAAAAAGGTACAACATGTTCTTGGAAACTACAGTGATCACTTCAAACCATTATTATGCAAAAACGAGTGAACTGATAACCACAAATGTTCAAAGGCAAGACTGGCTTTGAAGCTGGGGTGGGCAACTTATGGCCTGTGAGCCTACCAGAGCTTTCGGTCTTTCATCACCATATTTTATGAAGGTAGGGGCCACCTATGAAGGTCTTCGGGGTGAGACCCTGATCAGACATAACAAGATATTTGGTCAAGCGCAAGTCGCCAAAATTCTTTGCCATACTCCGCTCACACATGACGGCGAAACCAATTCGCAAGTCATCCATCTGTCTCGGATACTTGCTTCAAATTTGGGAGCAATCAGACAAAATCTCATGAAACGGATAAAGCTGGAATCGTTTTTTTTTTTAACTCATTCACTCCCAAAGACGTATTTAGATGTCTTTTCAGACGCCACACATTTAATCCCAGCTCCTCATTTTATATTGACTGTACTTGAAAAGGGTCTGAAAATGGCGTCTGAAAAGACATCTAAATACGTCTTTGGGAGTGAATGAGTTAATAAAGTAACAGCAGCAAACTGCCGGTAGTTCCCTCGACAATTTATTCTCATTGAGGACCTTGTCTCTCGCCACAGACATGTCAGTGTTGGAGCAATTTTTAATTCACCGACTGCACTGGACTTTTACCTTTTGTGTCTCTACTTAGTTCTACTCCATCACACTGAAACCGGACACCCGTGTGTGAAACAGCTCTGCGGATTCTAGATTTTGAAATATTTTGCTTCTTCTGACCAAAGCAAACGTTGAAAGATTTGCATGTTGACTAAGTGACCCACTTCCTCCGGATAATACCGTCGAAGTACGGAGCCACTTATCACGTGTATGCGTTTAATTTTCCTCCAAATCCCTTGACACGGATCGCACGCGCACGTGACGATTGTGATTGGTTCATGCTAGGCTGAGGATTTTGACCTCACACTGACTGCACGGCGTAGGTTTAAAAATAAAAACTAGAACGGCAGCGCCACCAAAGTTAAACAAACATTTATGTTTGTGTGCCCCCGCATGTCAGCACGTGAATGATGAAAAGATGGTTTGATGACAAAATGATTGACAGCCGTATTTGTGTTTGCGGCCATTTAGACAACAGGACCATTTTGGTTTTTTTTCCCCACATTCTGGCCGAGTGGAAAGAATCCAATGACGGTCAGGCATCGAAAGAGACTAAATAAATTTGTATTTGCTTTTGTCCGTCCGTCTGACAGATGAGCAAAGAATGAAGAATCTACAAGTGCCGTGAAAAAATATTTGGCCCCTTCCTCATTTCAGTGTTCTTTGCATATATTTATCACACACAAAGATTTCAGTTCATCAAACCAATTTTAATATCACACAGAGACTACCCAAGGAAATACAAAATGCAGTTTATAAATGACAATTTAATTTATTTAGACACACAAAAAAAAAAAATCCAAACTTACCAGTCAATTATGTGAAAAAGTAATTGCCCCCCCCCCCGTCTTTAACATCGCTGTGGAGGAATTTTGGCCCACTCTTCTTCGCAGAATTGCTTCAACTCGGCCATATTGGAGGGTTTTCAAGCACGAACTGCCCGTTTAAGGTCACACTGCATGATCTCAATTGGATTCAAATCCAGACTTTGACTTGGCCACTCCGAAACCTTTTTTATTTTATTTTTTTAAATCACAGCAAGTTGTCCTAGGCCTGAGGTAGCAAAGCAGCCACAGAGCATCACACTGCCACCACCCTACTTCACTGTTGGTATCATGTTCTTTTTATCAAATGCTGTGCCATTTTTACCAGACGTAACAAGCCGCACATCTTCCATAAAGTTCCATTTTTGACTCATCAGTCCACAGGATGTTTTTCCAAAAATCTTCAGGATCATTAAGACGTCTTTGTGTTCTTTTTGGACAGCAGTGCTTTTTGCCTGGGAACTCTCCCAGGGATGCCAATTTTGGCCAGTGTTTTTCTTCTGGTAGAGTCGTGAACACTGACCTGAACTGAGGGAGGTCTGAAGATCTTTGGATGTTGTTGTAGGTTCTTTTGCATGGGTCGTTGTCGCACTTTTGAGTCATTTTAACTGGTCGACCACTTCTGGGAATGTTTGCCACTGTTCCCAGTTTTATTCATTTGTGGAAAAAGGCTCTGGCATTGGTTTGCTGAAGCTCCAGAGTCTTGGAAATGACTTTGTAACCTTTTCAGACTGATAGATTTCAATAACTTTATTTCTAATTCCTTCAGATCGTGGTATGATCCGTTTGTTTCCAAAGATCTTGTTGTCTACTTCACTTTGTCTGATGGATTCTATTTATGTGATTTCTTGACTCAACAGTTGTGGTGGTAGGGTGTTCCCTGTGAAATTGGAACTCAACTTTCCCAAAACTGTTCGTCACAGTTACTTTTGTATTTCCATGGGTTGTCTGTGTGTGATATTAAAGTTGGTTGGATGAACTGAAACCTTTGTATGGCATAAATATGCGAAGAACAAAGAAATCAGGAAAGGGGCAAATACTATTTCACAGCACTGTAATTACTTTGTTTAAATGAAACATGTATTTAGTAAGCTACTTTTGGGGCCGAATGTTTTTAACTCTTTTGAGACGAGTACCCCCAATTATTTGCAAGAACTAATTTTCAACAGAAATACTAAGACCCTCCGGCACATGCAGCTCCCTAAGCAGTATAATTCCATTAATGTGGCTCATGTTGTCAGGATCAGTTACAGGGATGCGTGGAGGATGTGCCGTAAATCGCCCCCCCCCGGACCGAGGCCCGTTGCCGGTGCCAACGGTTAATCTTCCGTCGGGGATCGCCAAGTTCCTCGGCTGACTTTTATTACCGGTGTAGGAGGCGTAACTTTTGCTTGGTCCACAGAATGAAGACATTTACTTGTGCTTACAGGATTTTTTTTTTTTTTTCAATGATGACTAACCCAGCTGGCACTGCTTGACTGGAATAGTTTGCAGACACAAATACACATGTGGGGACAGTTGACTCATCTTAAAAAAAAAAAAAAAGGGGACAAAGGACTACCACCACTGTTGTTTTGCATTCCATTCCCCCTGTTGCACCCAGAGTGAAGCCAGAGCTTTCGTCAAGTTGTAAAGCCCGACAATTCAGATGAATACTGGCAAATTGAGCAGCTGACGCAATGTGGTACCCTGTTACGGAATATGAGGGAAATGAGAAAATGGCTGGTGGTGAAGCAGCGGTGGCTTAAATCGTTGCTGGGAGTTGAAGCAAATGGCCCTTCCAGGAAGTATTTTTCAACCACTTAAGATCACGACGTTTTTTTTTTTTTTTTTGCTGCACTGCCCGGGGAGAAAAATAAACATTTCCTTCTCCATTTATGGTCGCGGCCTCTCGCTCGCTCCGATTCGACTAACGAGCTATTATCAGACAATCTGACCAGCAACCTCGTAGAGGCAGGAGGAATTACATCACAGGCGCTGACTGATATGGACCCTGACCGGCCCCTCACAATCATGGGAGAGACATTCACACCTCACAGCCGACATACTAGTCCGCACCGGTCTGTAGCTGCTTGAATATTTTGGTACTCGCTGCGAATGTTTTGAGCAGAGATGAGCATTTGACTGCATGTCTTAATTAGTGAATTAAACAGAATCTATCACGATGTGAATAAAGAACGCCATGGGGGTCCGGGGGGGAGATTTTCAATTCAAGACATGTGGTGAGAGTCAGCGGCACTCATGGTAGGTTTCTCGGTTGTACATCTGTAAATGATTATTTTGCCATTAAAAGCCCTTTCTTAAGTCATGTTGTTGTTTTCATGACATAAAAGCAAACACATTTTAGCATTATAGTCGCTGTTCTCCTTGACGGGTGGATTTTTGTACCAAACCTTGTTTTTTCCGCTTTTTTGTGTCCATCGCGCATTCCGTGAAATAGTGCTAATTAATAAAGAACAGAAACATCCACAAACCTAGTGAAAAATGGGAGTTCAGTTTCTTTAACTCAGACCAGTCAAGCCACTGTTCTTGCAAAAAGCGACCCGCGACAAATGGGGATGTTGCGGAGCGTCAAAGTGATTGACAACACCAGCGACTTCGCACGCATTCGTGGCAGCCGAGCACCGTGCTGTGTAAGAGTGTCACACGGGCGGTTTGCAAGTCGCGCAATGCGACACAGCAGCTTCCGCCGAGCTCTTTGAGGCGGCACACCTCTCGGCTTTTAAGAGGAGACAAGTGGACGCTAATCACGGTGTCTGGGTTATTTGGTGTTTACGTGGAAGGAAGCGACTCGCATTCTAGCCCTGATCATCTTGCCGGTCCGGCACGAGTGGATGAGGCCTAATTGTTGGAGTCTCACCGTGCACTCCATGACTAGCGGTCGAAAGAGGCTAAAAATATTGCCGGGGGAGGAGGGTATCAGTTTACGAGGAAGTCGCGTGATGAAAACACTCCCCATCTGCGTTGACTAACGACAGAGTTGTGAGGTCACGGCTTCAAGAGACAATGAGGATGTAAACGGTCACAATTGTTGTTGTTTTGGTGAAAAACGTGCAGGCTGAAAACTGAAACGCAAACAACCTGTTCAGCAACGAAGCAATAGCAATCGTCAATTTCAACTCGTGATGAACAGGAACAAGGCTCCCCCTCAGAGTTGCGGCAACATTGGTCACATATGTTGTCGACCACACATTTATCAACCTCTGCCTTTCACATAGAACACTGAAAAGCGGAATGTTATCCCGAATGCCAACACGGAATCCCACACTGGGGTAATGAGATGACTTCAGCGCCACGTCCGCTGTGGCATTTCACTTTTGTGCTGTTGGCCCTCCTGAGGTAGCGCCGGGGAAGAATCTTTTCAGACGAGTACCAATCGAAATACCACTGCTATGTTTTTCCACAACTAGCTTGTTTCGGTACTCTGGGTCACACATGCACGTATGAAAACACTGTCGCCTTGTTGGCCGGATATCTCGCTACTCCACGAGGTGTTCTAGTCTCTCAAAATCTTGTACAAAATGGCCGACTGGAAGAGGAGATGCCAAAATCACATGATGACCGATTGACTGGCGTTGAGGTCGAATCAAGTCGGTTTAATACAGGAAGTAACGAGCCGAAACTGTACAACATTAGCACCAGTGTTTAAACCCCTGCCGGCATCTGTAGTCTGTCTCACCAGTACTGAGGAAGACTTCCAGAAGCGTTGCAGCAAGCGTTTCTGCACCAGGCCGAGCGCTTTACCCTCGGCTCTCCGCCGCAGGATCCTCTGCACCCTGGCGGACGGACGCCTTTTGGCTCGCAGGCGCACCCGATGGTTGTTGGGCCGCAGCCACTGAAAGCAGTACTTGCACACTGACATTTTGTCCAGCGCTACGGGGGATTGTGGCTTCTTTTCGTCTGGAAATGAGAGTAATCAAAAGTGTAACAACTGACGAGAAAGTCATTCCTAAACAACCATGCAACCATGATGTAATGTTCGCTAGTAGCAGGAAAACTGCTAGCTTATCTGAAATTTAGAAACACTACCATCATCTTCATGAGGGAGCTTTTGACTTACCAAGGGATGCAAAATGCTTGTCACTGTGGAGTAAATTGATTAAAAAAAAAAAAAAGACATATTAGACACATGACGACAACATGACACAAATGGAACTCTGCAAATGATTAAGGTTTTCTTATCTTATCTTATCTTAGTTGGCAGATAGGATGGAGAAACGGAGGCAAAAGAGATTTATATTTAAATATATACAAGTATAGCTAGCTCGACTCTAAATCAGCACTTAAGCTCCAAGCTCAAAAGACTGTCATCAGTTTTGGTGGCGACACTTGGATACAAGCGTCTAAAAAGAGTGGAAGCCAACTTGGACTCCGTCAAACAATACATGGCGAGCCACCAAAATATAAAAATATATCACGAGCTTCAACTCCCTACTATGAGCCTCCACTTTTGGAGCGCCACCAATGACATCCTGGTATTTGGGCACTCATTGAAGTGAGCCAACGATAAGTCTGTCTAAAATTAGCTGCGGCCTTGAATCAATGAAGGGATTTATCTTTTTTTTTTTTGGGCTGCACGTGCATTTGGGAGGCCTGCAGATTGTTTGGGGTCAGATTTAATCTGGCAGAGGCGGGGGCGTTTGTTGATGTGCTCCAACCTGAAGGTGAAACATTACATGGAAGATACCAGGACAGATGAAGAGCGTCAACTAATTTTCCATCGCTCATCTCTCAAATCAGATTCAATCCGCCTCTAATCCACTCCCAATTAATAAACTCCTGGATTAAACTGTCAGTTTAATATTTAGAGTTCATGTCTGAAATAAAAAAAAAATGTGAATGACATGTCAATTAGTTTTGATACGCCCACTTGGCCATTACTGGCGGGTTCATTTTGTGCATAATTAAAAAAAATTATACTTTATACTACAATTAATTGTGTTAACTTTTTTTTAGTTTTTAATAAATGCAATTTTTTTAAGTCTTGAATTTGTAAAAAAAATATATATTTTTTTTATTTTTCACTAATGAAGGGTTCGGTGAATGTGCATATGAACTGGTTGGGTTCGGTACCTCTAACAAGGTTAAGAACCACTGTTCCAAACAAATGCATTTTTAACATTTTGTGTTCTATAGCGAGTCATGGTCTGCCCACCCACAAGGATGTAAATTTAAAGTTTTCATAATTAAGCATTGTCCATCTCTCCAATATTGGAGGTTCAAATTTGTCAGCAATTCGATAAAATGTCTTGCAGGGGTCCACAAAGCACAACTGGAAAAGGCCTAAATGAGTCTGAAATGGCTGCCTCTAACAAACACTGCAGACTACTTGTGCCTTTTTAGTCGAGGCTTCTTCAGACTTCATTGTGGGTCTCGTCATGATCGACATGTCTCCCAAATTTCATGTTGAGAAGGGAAACTAGCTTTGGGGGGACTGATTTTCCAAAAAGTTGAGTAATTACCGTTTCGCGTGTCATGGCATTGTCAAGTCACCCAACAAGAGCTAAAACAAAACTCAAACATTTCAGATTTGTCTGGGGCTCAACGGCTTATATGAGGTAGCAATCATACAAAAGATGTTACAAAATTTGATCCTTGGTGTGTGTGTGCGTGCGTGCTTGTCCGTGTGTGTGTGTGTGTGGGTGTGTGTGTGTGTGTGTGCGTGCGTGCGTGCGTGCGTGCGCGCGCGCGTGCATGCAGTCAACTGATAAACAGATTTCCCCTGAAGACTTAAATTGACTCATGATTTTCACAGAGGACAAATTGCCTCCCGCCTCCAGTGAAATATAGCGTGGAATTGGGAGAATGCTTTAATGAGATGGCTTTAATGATGTCATCCATCTCATAATATGGCGGTAGAAATATATTGTGTCATCTCCCGTTATCGGCAGCACCAATCAGGCCGAGAACAACTCCGTATCGAAACTCGACAAGCACCAGGGAATTTTTCAAACATTCTGTCCCTGAAACCGGTTTTATTGACCAGCATACTGTAAAATTTGGTGGGCATGTCTATTATGAGTAGACCAACAAAAAAATGTGTCATTACACCCTAAATGAGTTTTATGACTCTTTAAAACAAAAAACTCTAAAACTTCACTTCTAAAATAATTCATCCCTCAAGGTTGATTTCACCTAGCAGCATGAAATTTGGTAGGCATGTCTATCAGAAATAGACCCACAAAAAAAAAAAAAAAAAAGCTCGAGAAGCCAAGCTCAAATAGACACAGGAAGTCTGCCTTTTTGATTTCTGTAAGACTTTAATGTTGCGTTTTAATTGCTATGTTGATGTAACAACGACGCCTCCTATCCAAAATTTGAATGAGATTTCACATATGGTTTATTTTGCCTTTTAAATGTCCGATTTCCACCATCCTAACAAAGGTAATGGCAACGAGCGTTGTGAGGGTGAATTGTTAAGTGCTAAATAATAACAAATTACTGTTTTCTTACAGTAAAAAACGGGATTCCTCCGGACAGCTGTCTTGAAACAGCAAAGACGCGTTTAGCCGAAACATGTTCGACAAGTCTTCGGCATTCGAGCTCATTTCCCCCCACACGTAGACTTCTTTGGTGTGTTTCCGTCTTGGTCTTCTTCACAAATATCAGTTTATAAACCAAGCGAGTAAGATCTGTCGTTCTCGTCGACAATTCACGCACGGAAACAGCGAATTTAGATCATGAAACCGAGAGACAGTTATGGTCGCGAGACGATGATATAAAAGTGGTGCAATGAATTGTGGGAAACGGAGTCCGGAGCAAATGGTAACGCCTATTTCTGATAATAATAATCAGGGTGTCCCCCGCCTACTGCCCGAAGACAGCTGGGATGGGCTCCAGCACCCCCCGCGACCCTAGTGAGGATCAAGCGGTTCGGAAGATGAATGAATGAATGAATGAATAATAATAATAATAATAATAATAATAACACATTTCATTTAGAAGCACCTTTGAAAACACTCGTTCTCAAATTCATTCACTATATATATAAAAACATTATACAGTATTATATTCATTCACCTATAAGTATATTGTTATGTGTTGTGGTTATTGTTTTACTTTATGTTAACGGTTTTGTGGGGCGCTTTGTTACAGCTGTTAAAGAGCTATATAAATTAGGATGTATTGTATTGTATGTGTTTAATTGGTAAATCAGACAAACGAATGCTATTCGTTATTGCATGAAATTGTGGTGTTTTAGGTGCGGCGCACACAGCAACAAAGCAGCTATGGGTGCAGCTTCTGTTTTGTTTATTTTTGTTTTTGTTTTTGAGAGGGGGGACTTGCTGACTATCAGCAACATGATAACGTTTTAGGTTAAGTTCAAATTCCAATCGGTTAACAAAGAATGTGGCGAAGAACAGTGAACCCATTTTGCCAAGAATTCTTCTTGTGTCATGAATTATCTCACGCGTTGGCAGAGGGAATGGTGTCTCTGGTTCGGAAACATTATACAACCTATGGTTTGAACCAATGTTTTGGTACACAAGGTAATTTGTATCTAGAATGGGGTCCGTTT